GTACATGTGGGAAGAGGAAGGCCGTTATCCATACCTCAAGAGCTGCTGTCACCTGGAACACATAGGGAGTGACCTGACGCCCAGCTGGTAAGCCCTGCTTTGTGACTTAAACTTCCCTTCAAGATTTTAAATTTCTACATAAAAAAATAAAGGGATAGTAGGTGAGGGTTTAGTTTTGTTTTTTAAGTTCAAGGACACCTATGAATAAACTTATGTCCAAAAAGAGAATTGTTAGTTCTTGGAGTATGTTCACAGCTCTTGGAGTAGATTCCAAAAGGCTTTCCAAAATGGCTCCCATTTATTTGCCCACAGCAGGATATGGAAGATTTATATCTTCAGTGTCCTGTCTTTACTTGCAAGGTTTATACATTTTTTGAGTTCGTCCGTCATTTGGGTCACTTCCTTAGCAAGCTGATTTAAAAAAAAAATTTTAATGTTTATTCATCTTTGGGAGAGACAGAGTGTGAGTGGGGGTGGGGCAGAGAGAGGGAGACACAGAATCCCAAGCAGGCTCCAGGCTCCAAGCTGTCAGCACAGAACCTGATGCGGGGCTCGAACCCAGGAACCGTGAAATCATGACCTGAATCAAGTCAGACGCTTAACTGACTGAGCCACCTACGTGCCCCTTTAATTTTTTTTTTAATGTTTATTTATATTTGAGAGAGCGAGCAAGCAAGCAAGCATGAACCAGGGGAAGAGCAGAGAGAGAGGGAGACACAGAATCTGAAGCAGGCTCCAGGCTCTGAGCTGTCAGCATAGAGCCTGGCGTGGGGCTCAAACCCACGAACTGTGAGCTCATGACCTGAGCCAAAGTCGGACACTTAACCAACTGAGCCACCCAGGTGCCCCCATTTTGGTTTTCTTTTAAGTTGCTAGCCTTCATCTAAATTATTTTTTTGAGATTTTACATGCTGTACATAAGGCTCTTGTCTTTTATAAACATTGTTGCTTGTCCTTCTAATGTTTATTTTTGGCAATATCTAACAAAATATAATACATATCCTAATAGGATATAGGACCAGGGCCTATATCCTAGGGCCAAGGCCACTAATAGGAATTTACTTTGACAGTACACCTCCAATGATTAAAAATACATTGGTTGGGGCATCTGGGTGGCTCAGTCAGCTGAGTGTTCAACTCTTGCTTTCGGCTCAGGTCACAATCTCGGGGCTTTCTGGGTTCAAGCCCTGAGTCGGACTCTGTGCTGACAGTGCAGAGCCTGCTTGGGATTCTCTCTCTCTCTCTCTCTCTCTCTCTCTCTCTCT